GTATTTATTTACGTTGTTTATGGTCATTAACAAGACGTTAGCCTTGCTAGCGGCGGCTAATGGCTAATAACAACATGCTACCATTAATCAAGTACATATCCAACTCCGCCCACATCCAAATCAGACGTTTTGATTAGGTCACCAATAGGAAGATTCCAGGCAAGAAAATCCTAATTGCTTCATGGCAATATAGACATTAATTTAAAAATAGTTAAATGAATCTAGCAAACACTGAATTAAACTCTATCAATAATATCATGTTAAAATAGTGGATGTTAAATAGGTTTGTACAATAAGTCCAAACAAGTTTAACCAAAAAATATTTATTGCTCACAATTATGAAGGGTGGAGGGTTAGGGTTAGGGTCAGGGTCAGGGTCAGGGTTAGGGTTAGGGTTAGGGTTAGGGTTAGGGTCATTAATGTGGGCCACCAGTCACGATAACATCAGAAACAGGTCAGTTTGAAATGAAAGACACAATTCAGTTAAATTTTAGGGTCTTTGTTTTTATCCTTGTGGTATCGAAAATGGTATCGAGTATTTTCCTGAGTATCCGTATCGAGTTGAAAATGTTAGTATCGTGACACCACTACCTCTGACCTCTGACCTCTGACCTGCAGGGGGGCTGTTCTTCTGGGGGGTCACCAACACCTCCAGGGAGTCCACCATGTACCCCAAGAGCGTGCAGGACCTGTGCGGGTGGAAGATCCGCAGCCTGGCGTGCGGGTGAGTGCAGGGGGGGGTGGCTAGTTAGTTAGTTAGTTAGTTAGCTAGTCAGTTAGTTAGCTAGTTAGTTATTTAGCTAGCTAGTTAGTTAGCTAGTCAGTTAATTAGTTAGCTAGCTAGTTGGCTAGTTAGTTAGTTAGTTAGTTAGTTAGTTAGTTAGTTAGTTAGTTCCATCCTCATTAAAGCAAAGAGGGCAGATTCCTCTAAACCAGCCGGTCAGACTCCGGGTTAGGGACGTCCCCATCCAGCTTTCTGATCCGACCCCGGCTTAACAGAGCCTGTACTAAAGTCTAAAGTTATTTATCTATTAGGGTTTTCTCTTGTTTCATTCTGTTTAAAAACTTTACTGAAGCTACCAGGAACCAGAAGTCTGAGCTGTGGGTGGAGTCTGGGGATGTCCCCATCCAGCTTTCCAATCTGATCCCGGCCTATCAGAGCCTGTACTAAAGTCTAAAGTTATATATCTACTTACTTAGTTGTCAGACTCATGTTGAACAGGGATTTACTCTGATAACAGCAGCTTTTTGCCTGTTGCCATCAACTGTTGGATTGTTGAGTTCTGTAGTTCTGTTCTTGTCGTGGGTTGTTTGCAAATGAAATTTCGTTCTGTGTGCACTCTGTGCATGCAAAATGACAGTAAAAGTTGTCTAAATGTCTAATGGTTAGGACACAGACCTGTGGGTTACAGATGCTAATGCTAATGCTAAAACTGGGTCTGTAGTCTGGATATGTGTTTCCTCCTGCCGGCCGATTGGATCCAGATACGGTGCTGACTGATCCTGGTCCGGGCCTCTCTGGGGCCCCCTGGTCCTGGTCCTGGTCCTGGTCCTGGTCCTGGTCCTGGCCCTGGTCCTTGTCCTGGTCCTGGTCCTGGTCCTGGTCCTGATCCTGGTCCTGGTCCTGACGTGTTTTCTGTGTTTCAGGAAGAGCAGCATCGTGATCGCTGCAGATGAGAGCACCATCAGCTGGGGGCCCTCGCCCACCTTCGGAGAGCTG